ATAAAATTTCAAATAAATAAATAAAAACTTTGGCCGCCTATTGGCCGGATTTGTAACTTACAAATTTGGTTGAAACAAATTGTTTTTTTTTATTTTTTTTTGTTTCTCTGCTAAATGGTTTCTAACAATAAGCCATTTCTTTGGCTGATCCTAGATCTGGACATTTTAAACTTCCACGAGAGCCAAGTCAAGTAGTAAAATTCCTTTACTACGAACTCGCTTTTTGGCTGGTAAATCTTTCGATCAGAGTCGGAATGTCATGTCGTTTCAAACGGGCATGTTGTATCCTCTCCACTAAGTGTTTTAGCCAGTTCATTTACATGGATAGCAAGCCTTGACTGATAGTTAGTACTGTACTGGGCTATTTCTTGCCTAATTGTGTTTATTTTAGGGTCTAAGTAAATATACTTGATACCGAACATTGTCCGTAATGCTTTAGTTTGGAATTATGTTACTATTGCTAGCGGTTCCCCATAGTTGTAAGCCGTATGTCCATATTGGTTTCAATATGGCTTTGTATATAAGCATTTTGCTGCTGTCGTTTAGCTGTGAGTTTCGGCCAATCAGCCTGTGAGTTTCGGCCAATAATTTAAACCAGCTGAACCAAATGGTAAGTCTACTTTATCAATTTTATTGTTGTAAATATAAAACCTTCTGCAGAACTTCTTGGGTGGTTAAATTTTTGGATAAATGAAAATTAATATCATTTATCGCTTATTTGAGGAGCTCGATGACGCAGGTAGTTAGCGCGTTCGGCTGCGATCGTTGATTTTAAGCAACTTTCACAGTGGTCGGTCATTGGATGGGTGACCAAAAATCTTCTATCTCGAGTTCCTCCGTGCTTCGGAAGGCACGTTAAGCCGTTGGTCCCGGCTGCATCTGCAGACGTTAGCACCCACCAATCCGTACTGGGCCCGCGTGGTGGGTCATGGCCCAATCTCCCTATTCCATCCATAGGGAAGGCCTGTGCCCCAGTTGTGGGGACATTAATAGGCTGATGATGATGACGATCGCTTATTTACTACTCACGACCTCCGGGACCGAGTGGTATGTACGCCGGGTTTCAAGGTGTTGCCGAATCGAGAGGTCCCGGGTTCGAATCCCGGTGGGGGCAGATGTTTGTGTGATGAATAGGAGCATTTGTACTCCAGTCATGGATGTTTAATATGTATTTCTATATAAATATACTTATATATGTACTGTATATGTATTCTATCCGTTATCCTAGGATCCCATAACACAAGCCTTATACCCGCCATACACACTACGAGAAATCGTTATGATTAGACTGTACAGTCCGAACGGTACCGATAAATCGTAGCGTGTATGTTATAAAACTGCACAGTTTCCTATACTAAACGAAATCGTATAAACTGTACCGTTCGAACTGTACAGTCTGATCGTAACGATTTCTCGTAGTGTGTATGGCGGGTATTACAGAGTTTACTTTGGGGCTAGGCTAATTGGTGTGAGTGTTGGAAATATTTATTTATAATTTTTTGCCTTTACGCGTTAATGTAGGATACAAAAATTGTTAAAAAAAAGCAATCGTGTTTTTTGGTGTACGGTTTTATTGATAACCTGCTCCACTATTACGTAACTATGTTGGTAGGAACCTGTTTTTTTGTAGTAGAATTTGAGTAGAATATTTGACCACTCGGTATGCGAATGATTTTATCATATTTTGAACATATACAGAGTTGTAAAGTTCGAAATATACTCATTTAAATATTGTACGCCAATTCTTAGCTATTATTCGTATTATAAATTAATATTTAATATAACCAGTTTCGTAGTGCCATTGAAATATAAAATTTGCGTATCAAATGTCAATGTTTCGAATAATAAAGATGACTATTATGGAGGAGTGGAGAGAATTAACTAATAAATTTATACTGAGACAATAAAGTTTTAAAAATCTTCCAATGAAATATCCGAACGCTCAATAAAAGTCTTTCGAAGGCAGCTCGAAAAAGTAAATAAAAATCATTATTCTGACGATGCAGACCTGAAAAGGCTGCGAAAAGTCAATCAATAAATTTCGTGCATTGACCCGTTAAAACTAGTTTTATTTAATGAGTGATGTACGTGAAAACATCAGAAACAAAAGATAAGTATTATTTTTTACTTACATTGATTTTTTTTGTCTATATAAAATCAGTTTTCATTATCATTATGAAAGTTTTATTTTTCTCTGTTTATAAATCATAGTGACAGACATAGGCACTATGTTTTTAATGTGACGAGCTCCGTGCCTTAGTGGCTTATCAGCCGGATTCATGGTGTCGCGGACTCGAGAGATCCCGGGTTCGAATCCCGGTGGGAGCAGCTGTTTGTGTGATGAATGCGATCATTTGTACTCCAGTCATGCGATGTTTAATTTGTATTTCTATTTTCTATATATATATATATATATATATATATATATATATATATAAAGAAAATAGAAATATATATATACTTATGTATGTATCAGTATATATATTCTATCCGTTACCCTAGTATCCCATAACACAAGCCTTACAGTGCTTTCTTTGGGGCTAGGCTAATTGGTGTGAGTGTTGAAAATATTTATTATAATTATTAAGATTATTATTATGTTTTACAATTTTTTGACTCATTTCCGTTTCATTTTTTCCATAGGATTCTTCCATTTACACCCCGTCCTAAATGAAGTTTCACTCCAAAAAAACAGATTCAAACAAAGAAATTATCATCAAAACACGTCCAATTATATCGAAGTTGTGACGTCATAAACATAAAAAAACTTCTAAATATAGGTTGTGCGTTATTTCTGTTACAAGTTGTAAGACAAACATAATTTTATTAAACAAGTTTTTAAATCTTATTAGACTAATGCAAAAAACAGACAGAGTATTCTATCCGTTTGCCAAAAACTGCCGAATCATCATCAGCCTATTAATGTCCCCATTGCTGGGGCACAGGCCTTCCCTATGGATGGAATAGGGACATAGCGATGACCCGCAACGCGGGCCCAGTTCGGATCGGCCCGTGCTAACGACTGCAGATGCAACCGGGACCAACGGCTTAACGTGCCTTCCGAAGCACGGAGGAACTCGAGATAGAAGATTTTTGGTCACCCATTCAATGACCGACCACGGCGAAAGTTGCTTAACTTCAACGATCTCAGCCGAGCGCGGTAACCACCCGCGCCGTCGAGCTCCTCAGTGCTATGTTTAATATGTAATATATTACGCTGATTTCCCGCTCGAATAGGGCGCTCGTATGTTGAAGCTGGATGGCGCAAGTGGTTAGCGCGTTCGGCTGCGATCGTTGAAGTTAAGTAACTTTCGCAGTGGTCGGTCATTGGATGGGTGACCAAAAATTTAGTATCTCGAGCTCCTCCGTGCCTCGGAAGGCACGTTAAGCCGTTGGTCCCGGCTGCATCTGTAGTCGTTAGCACCTGCCAATCCGCACTGGGCCTGCGTGGTGGGTCATGGCCCAATTTTCCTATTCCATCCATGGGGAAGGCCTGTGCCCCAGCAGTGGGGACATTAATAGGCTGATGATGATGATGGGGAAGAAACCTCCACCTCAGAGAAGACCTCAGAAAATAACACTATCTTTTGATGGTGTTGTGTCGTGTCGCTGAGAAAGGTTCCAGGGTTCCACGGGGTGGTTTTACGGGGGGATATTTTTGGTTACGTAGGCTATGGTGGCAGCTTATCATCAGGCGGGTCATAGGGTTATTTGCCGCCGTTTTTTACACAAAAAGACTGAAGGTAGCTCGACAATTAAATTAAATAAAAAATCGGTATTCTCACGATGCAGACCTGTACCCTTAGTACGAGTTCGAGCTTACAAAAACTATCATAGTTTTCGTAATTGTAAATTATATTTCTATGACCATTTTGGTGAAAATTAACCAAATATACTTAAAATTTAAGAAGACGCAAATGATTTAATGATAGAATTTCAACACTGTTTATTTGTATTGAAACGAAAACAATAAAATCAGTACCCTTAGTACGAGTGCGAGCTCACGAAAACAATCATAGTTTTCGTAATTGTAAAACTCGTACTAAGAGTACTGAAAAGGCTGCGAAACGTCAATAAATAAATAAAGTTTCGTGCATTAACCCGTTAAAACTATTAATAATATAGTTTTATTAAAAAAAGTTAAAGTTAATATGCATAATAAAAGCCTGATAAAAGAAACAATGAAGGGTCCCTAATGATAATTATTTAACTATAAAAATAAACTTCAACATTCCACGCCGACCAGACAGCAGACGGGACTCGAACCAGGAGAACTCAAAGATTTGTTTCTAGTATAATTTTCTTAAGATTAAAACATCTAGGAGTTACGAGTAAATGCTTAAATTAAAAATATAACAATATTCTGTACTACTTAATTCAAATATTAGATAAGAAAGTTAGCCCATTTGTTTTTCTGTGTGTTATTTTGACACATATAAAACGTATATGTACAATATCAATGGCAAAATAAATTATGTTTTAAAAAAAAGAATAAGTAAATTGGAGAAATAAAGGCAGTATTTTGTCAGACCCATCCCAAAAAATACAAATTTTAGACATTGTTTTGAATAAGAAAAATTACATAAAAAATATAAAATGAAAGAACAGTAACACGTTGTTATAATTAATCGTTTTTTATAATACCTATTTATTTAATTTCCCGAGGTTGATAAAAAATAACCCTATCCAAAGATATTCTAAAATGGATTTCTAATACTTTTTTTTATCTGTTTTTAGATTAGGCAATATACCAACGAGTTTTCCATTAAGTAATTAATAAGTTATTTGCATTCTAATCGCGAATAAAATATCATCTTTTAGTATCATTGATTATTAAAAACAATAAAGAAAATATTTTACTATCAACAGAAATAAACCAGACAGCTTATTAACGAAACCAAAACGTGATAAAAACATCACTCATTGTCATTACACAATTCGGCTATCGCCCACGAAAGTAGGTTAACCCGCGAAATGATCGAAAACAAAAGAGAACTCACCGTACGCTGTCTCGTTTTCGGCGCAAAAAGTTAATCCGAAACAGAGCACTACACACAACCACCACATTTTGCGCGATCTACTCTGCAGTACGGAATAGTACTGGACTTCTGATCGCTACACCGGCCGCAGCGACTGTTACAACATCGAACCGCCAACTCCAAGAGGGGCGAGCCAAGTAATGTTGTGATATTAAAATCAAATACCTGTTACTCGTTTAATATAAGTTTTGGATACAAAATCTTTAACCTGTATTGACGTTTAGGCAGGTAGGTATAGAAGTTGAGCTCGTACGATTGACATTTAAAATCTCTTTCGAGTCTTTTGAGCTGACGTTTTTATTAAATATCGAAATTACCTTTTTTTGAGTGTGTATGCTGTTGGTCGCAGATGACCTTTACAGCGTTATCAGGTTTGGGGACGGCGAGATCCTAAGGGGACCTCAAGCCGAGAATTCGCGAGTGCCTCTAGGGGTATTCCAGGCGGATGGCATCTCCCCACGGGGGGAGTCTCCTCTCCGTCTGGAGCCTCTAGACCACTCGAACCAGAGGGGGTCGGCTCAACTAGAGGGCGTCTCTTAGACTCGGACCTCGGCTCTAGTTAGCCGTTGTTGTGGAGGGTGGAAATTACCAAGTAATGTAAGGATATTTGAAACCACTCGGAGGAGCTCGATGGCGCAAGTGGTTAGCGCGTTTAGCTGCGATCGATTCAGTTAAGCAATTTTCGCAGTGGTCGGACATTGGATGGGTGACTAAAAATATTCTATCTCGAGTTCCTCCGTTACTCGGTAGGCACGTTAAGCCGTCCCGGCTGCACCTGCAGTCGTTAGCACCCGCCAATTCGCACTGGACCCGCCTGGTACCCACCAGATTGATCCATGACCCAATCTCCCTATTCCATCCATAGGGAAGGCATGTGCCCCAGCAGTGCGGACATTAATAGGCTGATGATGATGATTCATATCATTTTATCTCTTACTTGGTTAATATGAGCTTTGGACTTATAATCTTTAACGTGTGAATTTTACGGAGGTTCGAGTCTAGGTCTAGGTTCGAGTGGTCTAGAGGCTCCAGACGGAGAGGTGACTCCTCCCGTGGGGAGATGCCATCCACCTGGAATACCTCTAGAGACACTCGCTAAAGCTCGGCTTGAGGTCCCCTTAGGATCTCGCTGTCACCAAACCCGATGACGCTGTAAAGGTCATCTGCGACCAACAGCATACACACTCAAAAAACTCAACCTTGCAAGCCGGAAACTAAGTCTACCTATCAGGTGGGGTAAAGTTATTGCGGACCTTTATAAAAAAATATTGCTTTGATAGATTACTATGATTGTCCGTTGTAAGAGTCTTGATTTTAAACATTTTGAGCAGAAATAATTACAATTACTTGAGAAAATATATTGAATATCGAAATCCCAAAAATATCGAAAAGACTTCAAAATCGAATCGATCGATTTCGAAATTGGTAGATAGGTGATATTGCGTTCCGTACATATTTGTAGGTACTCAACATAAACGGGTGTATCTTCTTTAACATTAACTTAGAATAAAGGGTTTTTCACAAACTACGACACTCATATTTAAACAATGACGCTACATACCGGCAAATAAGGATGATGACTATTTTTTTTTCTTCGTTTATCAGGTAGTGTTCAATATACTGAATAAAAGACGTATAATTTTCTGTATTTTCTTGTATTTTGTTTAAAATTAATTCACTTCTGACACCACTTTGTTCAATATATTGAATAAAAGACGTATAATTTTCTGTATTTTCTTGTATTTTGTTCAACATAGGTTTTAAAATTATAATAAATCAAATATCACTATGACAACGTATGTATCAAAAAATCTACCATAAAGTCAAAAAAGGAGGTTGTGGTTGAGGTTGTATTCAGGTTCGTAACAGATAGATTATCAAAATGTATTGGACACGTATTTTTTCTTTTTTCACATAATATAAACATTGCAGAGATATATAGATTCGAAAAGTCGCATGACGTCACGTTTGAGTACACTTATAAGTGAAAATTCACTCAAAAGTGACGTCACGAGCCCCTACTCCCAAACTATGACAAAATTAGTCATTTTTTGGTTGATTGCCCAAAGAAAAAATACGTGTCCATTATATTTTTACCGTCTAACTGACGGACTAAATAGAATTTCGTTTACTGTACCCCGTCATCATCCATATTATGAGGATATGATATGATTATGATGACATGATATGATATAAATTGACTTGATTAATTTTTAAAATGGATTGATTTTGTTTAAATTTGGTTGGACCTGATGTGATTTAATATGATCAACAATTAAGTGTAATTAATGTATTTAATGTTAAGCTCAAGTTTGTTGCAACACCCCAACGGGGTCATTGACCACTCACTATTAAGTATGTAAGACCTCATAATAAATAATGTACATGAGCAATGTGATATAAATAAATAAATCCTGGACACATGTATCGTATGTATGCCCAATGCGACAGCGTGGAAAGCTGTGTATGCCACTCCGCTCCTAAAGGCCGCTTCGCCTTGTTGCTATGTAGTTAATGATGATTGTGTGTGTGTGTTAAATGTTACATTAATCCTGAATAATCTTAATTAACTACCTAACGATTATGTTAAGGATTACATTCACGAACAAGTCTAATTTAATCTAGGCAGATAAATTTAGAGCTCAAATTAGCTAATGAATTTAATTCTTAGGATTACTGTAAACATTGATGATACATCTAAAGAAAATATAACTAGAAAAAATTCCACGCGGACCAGGCAGCAGACGGGACTCGAACCCGCACCCTTCGCAATCCGGGCGAATGCACTGACCAATTATGCTACCGCGGCCCTCACGGACCGCGTCGAAATTCTTTCTAGCTATTCTTAAGCTGCAAGGCAGCGCCATCTCTTCGCATTATAGGTAAACCCACAATGTCAAATGAATACTTTTACAAGTATTAAACATTTGAAAGAAGAAATAGCAATTATAGTTATAATTTTTATTATTTTTAAAGCATGTAACTGCTTGATGTTTAAATCTAAAGAAAATATAACTAGAAAAAATTCCACGCGGACCAGGCAGCAGACGGGACTCGAACCCGCACCCTTCGCAATCCGGGCGAATGCACTGACCAATTATGCTACCGCGGCCCTCACGGACCGCGTCGAAATTCTTTCTAGCTATTCTTAAGCTGCAAGGCAGCGCCATCTCTTCGCATTATAGGTAAACCCACAATGTCAAATGAATACTTTTACAAGTATTAAACATTTGAAAGAAGAAATAGCAATTATAGTTATAATTTTTATTATTTTTAAAGCATGTAACTGCTTGATGTTTAAATCTAAAGAAAATATAACTAGAAAAAATTCCACGCGGACCAGGCAGCAGACGGGACTCGAACCCGCACCCTTCGCAATCCGGGCGAATGCACTGACCAATTATGCTACCGCGGCCCTCACGGACCGCGTCGAAATTCTTTCTAGCTATTCTTAAGCTGCAAGGCAGCGCCATCTCTTCGCATTATAGGTAAACCCACAATGTCAAATGAATACTTTTACAAGTATTAAACATTTGAAAGAAGAAATAGCAATTATAGTTATAATTTTTATTATTTTTAAAGCATGTAACTGCTTGATGTTTAAATCTAAAGAAAATATAACTAGAAAAAATTCCACGCGGACCAGGCAGCAGACGGGACTCGAACCCGCACCCTTCGCAATCCGGGCGAATGCACTGACCAATTATGCTACCGCGGCCCTCACGGACCGCGTCGAAATTCTTTCTAGCTATTCTTAAGCTGCAAGGCAGCGCCATCTCTTCGCATTATAGGTAAACCCACAATGTCAAATGAATACTTTTACAAGTATTAAACATTTGAAAGAAGAAATAGCAATTATAGTTATAATTTTTATTATTTTTAAAGCATGTAACTGCTTGATGTTTAAATCTAAAGAAAATATAACTAGAAAAAATTCCACGCGGACCAGGCAGCAGACGGGACTCGAACCCGCACCCTTCGCAATCCGGGCGAATGCACTGACCAATTATGCTACCGCGGCCCTCACGGACCGCGTCGAAATTCTTTCTAGCTATTCTTAAGCTGCAAGGCAGCGCCATCTCTTCGCATTATAGGTAAACCCACAATGTCAAATGAATACTTTTACAAGTATTAAACATTTGAAAGAAGAAATAGCAATTATAGTTATAATTTTTATTATTTTTAAAGCATGTAACTGCTTGATGTTTAAATCTAAAGAAAATATAACTAGAAAAAATTCCACGCGGACCAGGCAGCAGACGGGACTCGAACCCGCACCCTTCGCAATCCGGGCGAATGCACTGACCAATTATGCTACCGCGGCCCTCACGGACCGCGTCGAAATTCTTTCTAGCTATTCTTAAGCTGCAAGGCAGCGCCATCTCTTCGCATTATAGGTAAACCCACAATGTCAAATGAATACTTTTACAAGTATTAAACATTTGAAAGAAGAAATAGCAATTATAGTTATAATTTTTATTATTTTTAAAGCATGTAACTGCTTGATGTTTAAATCTAAAGAAAATATAACTAGAAAAAATTCCACGCGGACCAGGCAGCAGACGGGACTCGAACCCGCACCCTTCGCAATCCGGGCGAATGCACTGACCAATTATGCTACCGCGGCCCTCACGGACCGCGTCGAAATTCTTTCTAGCTATTCTTAAGCTGCAAGGCAGCGCCATCTCTTCGCATTATAGGTAAACCCACAATGTCAAATGAATACTTTTACAAGTATTAAACATTTGAAAGAAGAAATAGCAATTATAGTTATAATTTTTATTATTTTTAAAGCATGTAACTGCTTGATGTTTAAATCTAAAGAAAATATAACTAGAAAAAATTCCACGCGGACCAGGCAGCAGACGGGACTCGAACCCGCACCCTTCGCAATCCGGGCGAATGCACTGACCAATTATGCTACCGCGGCCCTCACGGACCGCGTCGAAATTCTTTCTAGCTATTCTTAAGCTGCAAGGCAGCGCCATCTCTTCGCATTATAGGTAAACCCACAATGTCAAATGAATACTTTTACAAGTATTAAACATTTGAAAGAAGAAATAGCAATTATAGTTATAATTTTTATTATTTTTAAAGCATGTAACTGCTTGATGTTTAAATCTAAAGAAAATATAACTAGAAAAAATTCCACGCGGACCAGG